AAATTGCTCCTTTTTGTGTGTTTCTGCCGCTTTCGTTAATTTTGGAAACGAATACAATCTCTAATAATCTCAGTTTGTGTGTGATTGCCTTTTTTTTTTTTTTTTTTTTAATATTTCACCTTAACCAACCCGTTTCTGCAGCAGCCTACAACGCATCTAAAGTTGAAATCGAACAGATGATGTAAATAAAACTCTTTTTCGTCTTTGTTATGATGTGCAGTGATCCTTCATTGTAGTATGATCAGATATTTTACAAATGATAATGTATTTTACCTTTACCTGCATCCTCCATGGTGATAAAATTATGGAGGATTTCCTGAGCGTCAGTCAGTAAATGGTACAGGCTCACAGATACAGTAATGCCTGCTTTTTGCCTTCAACACATTCTGGATTCTGCTATCTGAAACAGACATGCAATTTATACACAGAGAGACTAGCTGAAAATTGGTCCTTCAATAGTGTTTAATCTGTCAAATAGTTTACAGATTGTTATCTTTACGGTCAACTTGTATATTTTCTACTCTTTAGTTCTGTTTTTATTTTTGAAGTGTTTCTATTTTATAATTGTTTATTTTCTACTCTTTAGTTTCTAATTATGTGCATGCCTTGTTTTTGTATGCTGCTGTAACAAAAAAATCTCCCAATTTGAGATCAATAAATATACCTTATCGTAGACTTACTGCGTGTAGGCTATTTACAATTGGACACGCGGTTGTTACATGGGTAACGTGTAGGCAAAGTGTTTCAAGAATAATTTAGGATTAAGATCAACCTTTTTGTAACTCACGACGTCACGAGGGGATATTCTGTTTTTCACTCAGGTGTTATTTTACAATAAAGAAATAGCCTACACACACCATACTAAATTGTAATACTTCTCCGTTGTAACTAAAAGTCCTGCAATTAAATATTACTTAACTAAAAGTCCTGCAATTAAATATTACTTAAGTAAAAGTACGCGTATGATGTATCTCAAAATTGTACTTAGGCTAAGTATAGTCTACTTGAGAATGTAGTTTAGTTGCTTACACCAGGGGTTCCCAACCCCCGGTCCGCGGACCGGTACCGGGCCGCGAAGGTGTTACTGCCGGGCCGCGAAATAGCTGTGAGTTTATCGTAATATTTGCAGAATTATAAATAAATACAAATATTTTATCATAATATTTTTTTCAAAAACTGTTTAATTTTCGCACCTATGCCACCAGTCATATTATTTCATCCAGTAGCTAGTTAATCTTTCACCAGAAAACGGTTGAAAATGGCTTTTATGATGTTCCGAGGGATTCGGCGGCTCAGCCTAAGGTCTCAGCCTCTTGTGCGCATGAGATGCCGCGTTCACACCGGAGTACTTTTCACCGTACTTTTCGCGTTTAGTTCCGTTAGTACCCCTTATGTCGCGTTCACACCAAAAAGAGTACTTAATCTCGGGAACTTTTACCCCCATTTTTAGTGCCCGCTGAGAGATCGTACTTTCCTGTGGGAAAAAAGTGCCCCAGTGCTGATTGGCTGGGCGAATTGCAAACCACAACTGTGAAAATGTTGTGTAGAGCAGCCATTGTTTTTCCTCGCTACAAAAACCCAGCGCACCGACGGAGAGTAGTTTGTTTTTGAAAGCAGTTATGGCAAGCATCAAGAAATCATCGGAGCGGTGGAGTGATGAGGAGGTGTCAGCGCTTCTGGAGATCTACGCCGAGGACGCGACCCAGGGAATGCTACTGAAGCCAGTTCAGTAGCTTTCACTCGACCTGGGAATCGTGCACAGCCCCACGGCATACCGGCTACAAATAAAGAAACTCAGGCAGGACTACAAACGGCGGATTCAGTGGCCAACGATGACGACCACGACGAAGGTAAAATAAACTACATGCACTGGGGTTTTAATCTGCACAATAATGGTCTCAGATGTACTTTTATTTGCTCAGTAGATCAAGCTAGCCATGCTAGGCTGAAATGGCTAACACCGGCCCCGAGCTAGCTACATCTAGCTAGCTAGATATTCTCGGCCGCTATGAAAACGTTTTGACTTGTGAATAACTGTGCAGTGTTTCTGTAATTTGCTTCACTCATGGCACTAATCGTCTGTTTCAGGCGAGGATGGACAACTCTCAGGATTGCAAACAAGCGAGCTTTGCATTCTAGATCACAGTGCTTGTCGTCCCCCTTACCAGCAACCAAACGCAAAGGTACACACACTGTAACTTTGTCTTGAAAGAACGTTACGCATCGAACTGATGTTCACAATCATGTTTATTTCCTTCTTGGTACAATTATGAAACAGCGTAAAAACGTATTCGCCTAGACCGGCATTTACAAATGTTCGCGCCTTTTTACTCTCTCACAAACATTGTAAACATCCGGGCTAGAGGTCACATGACTTCCGGTAAGAAAACTTGCCTCAACAACATTAAACAAAGTTCAAGCATACATGAAGCACTCTTCAAAAATACAAAACAATAAAGAAGGGCACTTTGAGCGGCAGCTACACACACACACACACACACACACACACACACACACACACACACACACACACACACGTTGTAAAACTACATGGCGACTAAACAGATCTTGTATCTTGCTTATTTTCCCCTCTTAGGTAAAGCGGACACGAGATGCGAATTTCTTTGACACCGTCCAGGCGTTGGAGGACCGGCGTGCCGTGGTGAAAGAGTCGATGCACGGGGATCAGATGGTGCTGTTCACCAAGGCCCAGGAAACGGAGGACAAGATGCTCACCAGTTCATTTTATATTATTGTTATTACTGTTATTATATAGTCTTGATACAACTGACACTTTATTTTATATTGATAATGTTAATTTACATGTACAACTTCTATTTTATTTACATTAAAAATGTGAACTTCTATTTACTGTTAAACAGATCCTGTATCTTGCTTATTTCTCCCGACACTTTATCTTTAGTGACCTGTGTAGCATCCTATACATCACATGTAAGTGATTATTCTGATACCATCATGTTTCATCGGTTATAAACTGGCAAAGCTTTATTTGCCATTTATTTATCATCAATGTTGCAACCTTGTGGAGGAATGGCAGGGGCACATACACAAATATGATAATTTATATCATTTTAAATATTATTTGACCTAAAACTAAATGTGTTTATGATTGTCCTCTGAGGAGGACATGGGGATTTGCAAACTTTTAATTCCCCCCCCCATTTTACACAACACAAAATGGAGTCCACTATGGGCCGAAACTAACATGTAGGTTTCCATAGTGTTTATGGCAGACGGATGCAGTGGGTCTCAGGAAGATATATAATAAATAATAAAGGTGGGTTTGCTGCTGAGCCTATTTACTGTGCATACAACACACCTGGCACAGTTTATTGTTATTATATTGCCACACTGTACACTATTGTAATGTTGCCTGTCTTGACTGGAAAATAAAAGAGAGAAACAAAAGCACTGTACAAAAGATCAGCTTTATTGTCAAAATGTTTACAATGTACAATTTACACGCTGTTCAGTGTCTTGCCCCCCAGCCTCGGCAATGGCTGGCCCATCAAGCTGGGTCGGCGGTAAGGCAGTCCATTCGTCCCTGTACTCATCATTACTTTCACAAAGGTTATGTAATATGCAACATGCTGCCACCTGGATTTTGATCTTGTCCATCTTGCAGTCGTTTCTTTTCATCAAGCACCGCCACCTGCCCTTCAGTCTGCCAAAAGCGTTCTCCACCACCACTCGTGCTCGGCTTGTTTTGTTATTGTGCGCAAGTTGCTCAGGCTGCATTAACTCAGTTACAAAGCTGTATAACATGAGCACAAACAGCACAACTTCAGTCGACTCCATCTCCATCATGTCTGAGGTCGGAAGGTAAACAACAGACGCCTAATGTACAGCGAGTGGGTGGGCGTCGCAGTATACGCGGGAAGTTTTTCTTCTTCTTCTTCTCTTGTTTTGTAGCGGATTGCAAACAACTTTAAGGTGCATACCGCCACCTACTGTACTCGCCGTGAAGTGGTTTGTGGCCTGCCAGTAAAGCCAAAGCAGAAGAAGAAGAAGTGACGTCAGCGGCTCATTTGCGTAATCTTCCCTCAGGGAAAAGTACTCCGGTGTGAACGCGATCCCTGTGCCCTGGGGTAAAAAGCGCCGGGGCTCTGAGTGCCGGAACTAAGTACAGGAAAGTACTTGGTGTGAACGCGGCAATATTTTGAGTTTAAATATGTTGAAGCCAAGCTCAGCAACATCATGTCATGAATGGATTAAACAAAACGTATTCCCATTGGTTTATACATGTTGAAGCACAGAGTGTTTACATTGCAGAGAAATACTGTATAGATGTTAACCATAGCCTTGTGCATAAAGGTAAGATAATAAAAAAAATGTGTTTGGTTGTAAGTATGCTTTTAAAACCATCTTCTTTATCTTGTAGTATTTGCACACTGACAGAAATATTAAAATATTTGTGTTTTTTATCATTTCTTCTGCAATGTCACAAGCACATACATTGTATAAATGACTGTTACTTACTTTGGTCTGTGATTGTTTGTTGCCTACTAATTGCTTGCTTCAGCAAAGAACCTTAGACCTGGGTCTGGGACTCCCAGTAAAGTCATAAAAACTGAACTGAGTTTCCAGGAAGCGCAGCATCATGGGACATTCTGATTCAGTTTCCGACCTACAGTACAGTTCATGGTAAAGACCAGTGGCAGCTGTTATCACACAGTTTACAGCGGTTTTGTTTGTGATGCATTTTAAGCATCAATGATTCTTCTGTCACTGTGAATGTTTCAAAATGTAGCCAACGGTGAAATGTTCCGATGAAGGCCAAACCCATCAGTAGTTATTAATCGGTGACTCACTTTTTTCACTTGTCATGCGATCATCCCTGCAGGTGGTCATTTAGTCTCTCAGTCTAAAACAGATCACTGGTTACTTTAGAGTACACTAATGTCATCTGTTGAAAGGACACACACAGTTTATAACCAGAAAACACAACAAATGTTTTTTTATCTTTTAATACTATGTCTTCATGTTAAGCTTCACTGAACATTTTAAACACTAAGGACACTCCCAGCTGATGCTTCCTGACTTTTATACATTTATTGTAAACATTCACAACTCCTTCAGCGTCGAGTTGACCGGTGAGCAGCTCATACTGTACAACCCTATATGATGTGCATTTTGTATACACTGTCCATGATGCTCAAGTGAAAACCACATGCAGGTTTAGCTGTGATTGAAAGCTTGACTGACAGGAAAGACGCAATCTGTGTTGTAGAAGACAACATTTTGACCTAACTCATCAATGAATTAGATGCATAGTATTTTCTCTCTTCACAATACAACAATATCTTGATATATAAGTGATTGCAGCCATCTGTACCTGATCAGTCCAATACGTTTTAAGTTTTCACTTAAGTTAATCTGTCTGCTGATCCCTCAGCTTACTGCCTTACAGTAATCAACATGTCTTAGTCCCAGGACACATTTGGGCTGTTTTAGACACCTTCTATACTAATGGTTAGATTTATTAAATATATATTAGAAGACTTTTTGTAGTTTAAATGATCTCTTTAAGTAGCTAGTTAGAACATCCTGTTAACTGTAAGAAAGTTCAATCCTATTCAATACATTTTATCTGGTGTAGTCAATCAGATAAATATTTAAACACACAAATACTAGAGTCATTATTCATTTCAAGTGCATTCAAACAAATGTAATCAAAGCCACTAGGCTATACTTGTACCGTGTTAGACCTGCAGCGCTGTGGAGAGCACTCGCACTGAATCAGATCTCTCATCACGATCAACAGCGACACAGACATCAGCATTATTCAAAAGGCAATTTGAGACAGACACTGGCATTCGCACCCTGACAGGAACATTTTGTAAAGAGCATTTCCTCCAGGGTTTGTTACAGGGCTCCATTTTAGCTGCACAAATCATTAGTTAGATCTAAATATAAAAGACATTGAGGATATGAATACCCGCAAATATCACTCCGCTAGGCTTTGAACAATTCTCACAAATAAATCTACAATATTGTATGATTATAATCTATTTCAAGACTTGAGGTGTAGTAGCAGGGATTCAGATGAAGAACTCATCATCCGTCTTGTGTGTGTGTGCTGACAGCAGCTCAGCAGTAGTCCTGCTCTCTATGAAGGGTCCTCTGGGGGGGCTTTGTCTTGCCGCCACAGTCCTGCCGCTACAGGCCTTCCTGGCTGCGTGCGTACATCCCGCGGAGCCCCAAGTCCCGGAGGAGACCTGAGGGTGTTTGTGTGTCCGTGGCAGACACTCAATCAGCTCCTTGGCCAGACCCTGGACAGCGGAAGCCCCCACAGCTGCAGGTCTCTCAGGGTGAGGAGTCATCAACAGCTCCACGGAGGAAGAGCGAGTGAGTATTTTGACTGCCGAGTCTGAGAGCAGTGAGACTCCGGTGTCTACGTTGGTCTCTGGCTCCTCCTCATCCTCTTCCAGGAGGAGATGGGACAGAGAGCGGGTGATGGAGGGGCGCAGGGGGGAGTCGGGGTGATGGGTGATGGAAGGGCGCAGGGGGGAGTCGGGGTGATGGGTGGTGGAGGGGCGCAGGGGGGAGTCGGGGTGATGGGGGGTGGAGGGGTGCAGGGGGGAGTCGTGGTGATGGGGGGTGGAGGGGGGTGCAGGGCTGCTGCGCTGGGAGGAGTAACAGGAGCTGCCTGGAGGGGTGCTGCAGCAGCTCCCTGACCCCTGGCTCTCTGCTATCCCCCCTCCATAAAGCTTCTCCAGGGCTGGGTCACTGCGCGGTCTGAGGCCTGCTGGGACACAAAAGAGGGCACTGAGAAACGTTGGCTATTGAACTATGCTCAAATAGTATTCAAAATGCAATTTCATTGTCTAAACTTTTTTTACATTTAGTGTAAGGTTTATTTAAATTCATCAAAGTGTGTAAAAAAGGAAAAGTATTGAGCAATTGAAAGTATGTCCTAAAAACGGTCTAGTATAGCATAATATTCAATACAAAAAATCAAAACGATGTGCATCAAAAAGTCAACAAATGGTCAAAGTAAAGCATTCCACACTCGGTAAAACGATCTGCTTATCTATCTATATAGCTTATCTGCAGCATATGTATGTATGTGTGTATGTATACAGTAGTGTGTACGAGTATATGTATTTGTTGCATGCATGTATATGCATATGTATTACATGCATATATATTCATTTAAAGTGGACCTATCATACTATATTTGAATAATATAGTGTAGGACCATACCTATATAAGGCATATTTATACTTTTTTTTTTTCAAAATACCAAACAGATCATGCATTTTATAGCCATGCCTCATTTTGCTCAATTTGACATTTTTTAGCTCTGTTTTTACAAGGGCAGATTATGTGAGAACAGCACCATCTACAGGCCTGGCATATGTACTACAGTGTCTCCAGCGCTTTCGAACGGCAATGGCCGTGGCTGTCTCCTCCTGATTGGTGGAGTTGGCCCAATAGCCGTAGCGCCACTGTCCTGACGTCAGGACAGTGTTCAAATCTGGATCAGTTTTTATCAGATCCGTTGCAGCCCCTTTTTTAGAGATTTGGGTATGGAGGAAAATAGAGAGGGTTGTGTTTTCTGACACTTGGTGAGTTCCCTGGAACACCGGGGACACATATTCATGTATAAAAGACGTACAAAAGTGCATTTTGCATGATAGGTCCCCTTTAACAATGTTTCTGGTAAATAATCTTGTGTATGAGGCCCACTGGCAGTGAATGTAGGGGATTACTTTAGTCGTTGTTATTGTTTGTTTGTGTTCTTCGTAATTGTTCTTCTCTTTGCACATACAATCAGTACAAACCACTGTCTCATTTGTATGCATATATTTTGCTTTCCACTTCTAAATGACAAACACTGTTTATGCATTGTCGAAACGCAATAAAAAGATTTTTGATCTGACAAAGTCAAAGTAATATATTACATAAAAAAGTCATAGTATTATGCCTGGATCTCGGGTCCCTGTGGGGGGGGGTCCCTGTTGGTGTCTCTGGGGACAGGTTTTGGGGAGTGGACTCAGTGTGTGTGTACTGACCCTGCCTGTGTGTGTGCCGGGGCATTGTGAGGCTGCAGGGCGACAGGCTGGGGCCCTGGGCAAGGCTCCTGAGCTGCACCCCTTGGGGGGGCACGCTGGGGCAGGTCAGGGGGAAAGCACAGGTCAGAGGTCGCTGAGGCTGAGCCGGGATTTTCACCTGCAGCACGGAGGGACAGAAGGGGGGGGATTATGATTTACACCAAGACCACAGAGATTTAGACAAGTTAAGTCACTTTGACGGAATTAACATAAACGCATCTTACATATGGCTACTGACAGCTCGGAGCTGGTTCTGTGAGAGAATGCAACCACATGTCCATTTGATTTAATCTCACTGAGAGAATGAGTATGACATAATTCAAATAACTGAAATTAAGATATTAATTTGATACTAATTGGAAGCTACTCAGTATTCCCTATAGGAAATTGGCCAACTCCATACTGTGTAGAGCTTTTTCAGTTCTAAAAATAACTTTTTAGTAGAACAAAGATCCCACTCTCTGGACTGTCCAACTCGTGAGATAATATAGAGTTGTCCCCTCTAGCAAACTGCCATGTGCTATGTGACAAACCTCATGACTAAACCTGACATAAATATAGTGAAAGCTGTTCCTATATCCACTGTTATCTAACATGTTGTAGAAAGGGTGGAGCAGACTCAAATATTAAAAAAAAACATACCAATCAGTCATTAAGCCTCATGTAAAACATTCATTAAGCGTCAGGCAGCATGAAGCATGTGCACATTTTGACACATTTGCTGTGGCATTTAAACATTCCCTTACCTGGAAGAGAACTTTGTTTCCATCCAGGTCCTCTGTCTGCCAGCGGGAGCCGCTGATGGGGGTGCAGGGGTTGGGCAGCAGAGGGACTAGCTGGCCTATTTCCTCCACACTAAACTGCAGCACGGCAGAGCTGCAGGGCTCCACCCGGACCCCTGGAGACAGCTGTTTTAACGCCAGCTGCATGCACAGCCCCGGCTCTGTGTGGAAAAGGTGATTTTAGAACTTGTTGAGGATTTTCGTTCCTTCTATTTATAAAAGAAAATCTAAGTCAGGCACATTATCAGAAATTGTTACAACCAAACTACCGGACATTGAAAACTCTTTTTCTTCTATTCTTGGTCTTTTCACTGAGATTCCAAGGCTTACCAACACCATGGACATATAACGCTCAGTTGCTGTTACAACCTATTGACAATTTCACCATGTCCATTTACGTATTTCTGATTTATTTAAGTAGGTTGTTTAAATGGATATGTATATATATATATATAAATAATGTACTACTCATATTTGTATATATTTTTATTTTTAGGATAGTTATGTATTTACTTTTTTATAGTAATATCCGTTTGCATCATCTTGATTATTTATTTTATCCGTTTTTTTTTTTTTTTTTTTTTACATTTCTATTGTTATTTTGCAGGAAAAACAAAATAGCATTCAATATATTTGTCAAAAAAAGCTCATCCTTAAAGTTGGACTTGTTGAGATAAATATGTTCTATTTTTAGTATAGAATATAAACACAAAATCAAAGAGTAACACTCTTAAGCCGTACCTGTGTGGAGCGTGAACCAGCAGAAGCCGGTCTTCTGCTCCTCCGCCTGCCGCTGCAGCACCGTCTCATAGAGCCGCACGGCGTCCTCGTAGTTGTCGTATCCACTGTAGAGTGTCACACGAAGTATCTCTCCTCCACAGTGGACTGGGCGCACCCCCCACACAGGCATGCCTGCCCCCAAACTGTAGAAGTCTCTGCTGGGCAGGAGGTAGGGCCGCAGCATGGCGTTGGAGGGGGAGCTGCTGGAGCTGATGTGGACCCCCCCGGTCTGGCTGCCGCACGTCTCAGTGTGGTGGTACTGCCAGGGCGGGTGCTGGAAGAAGTCCAGCACTTTGAGGATCCGCTCCTCTCCGTAGGCCTCATGGAGGAAGAAGGTGATGGCCACAGAAGGGTAGCCTGAAACATTTTTTGGAAAGATATTTATTCTCAATCAAACTGAATAAAAACAGATGCAGTTGGCAAGAGGAATTGTTGTGGGATGACATTGTTTACTTCATACAGAAAGGAAATGCATTGAGAGAATGACATTTGTTGTTGACATGAAAATGGGTGACATTTCCATCATGTTTTGAGGTCTCACATATGGAAATTATTATATATATTTTTTAAATACTTAAGGTTTTACTAGCACAACCACATGTTGCATGCCTGCAAATTAAATGCCTAAGACCTGACAGTAAAACAAAATAGTATACAAGTATAATCAATACAACAGCACACAGTGAAGCTCCGTACCTGCCACAGGACAGAGGTGTGTGTAGCTCCTGAATGGGGAGGCCCTCTCGGACACATGGAAGATGCGGAGGCTGGGGCAGAGCCAGCGGAGCAGGCGGTCCAGGCTGTGCTGCAGCAGCAGGGAGTCCCCGGGGTTGGCCAGCAGATGCAAGTTCATCGGCAGGAGCTGAGGCTGCCGCTGCTGCCTGACCCGTCTGGTCACAAGCTCAACTAGGATTCAATCACACAAATAAGTACTCAAAGATAGTTTGGACAGGTGCAAGCTTGCAAATGCTTAAACAGGGCAGCACAGAGCCGAAGTCATAATAACAATAAATGTCTATTTAGTTAAAGCTCCTTGGCACACCAATTGTACACATCAAGATCAGTTTCCTTGCAGTGGGTAATATGACTCAGCTTGTCAAAACTGTTGTTTAAAGTCTTCTTTGGAAAGGCCACGTTACAACTGACAATACAAGATTTTGGTTTGTGTTTTAGTATTAAGTTAAGTGCCAAAAAACGCACTGATGCTGCACTGTGTTTGGAAATACAGCAATTCCAGTATGTCTAATCTCCACTACTATACTATAAACTGCAGCCTCACTCTACTTAACTGTTTACAGTGTTTGTTCTGCGTAATATTTACCTCCATTGAAAGTGTTATATAATATACCAATCCAGGCTGAAACTGGGTCAAGTTTGAGGAACATGAACAGGGAATAGTCAAATAACAATAGAATTGCATAATAGAGCTGAGGCCGTTTACAAAATGAAATGAAATAACAGTCAACATGTATGCCATATGCATGAAGCTGCAAAGACTATAATAAAAAAAGTCCCATGTGAGTCATGAGGGTTCAATTACAGAGTGCTCTTTAGCTTCTGTCTGACTGAAAGAGTACTTACTGTCAGAGGATGACATCATGCTGCAGTCAGATCTGAGACACAAAATAAAAACACATGAGTGATTACGTTCATTCTTAAACACTTTTTTTAGGCTGGAGTTCAGACCAAAATCTGTCTCCATCTTGTGGTGGTTGGCTTGGAAACGTGCCCCTTGGTCACCATGACAACACATTATCTGTTGTGAGCTAACATAAAAGTCAATTTATGAGAAAACACCTAAAAGAATTAAACAGCTTTAAACACCCATAATTAAGTGCAAATAGGGATGACACATAGTTGCTTCTACTTTAATTAGTTAGCCCATTCAAGATGTATTCTCCTGGTGAACGTTAATTTCCATTGTGCCTACAAAAAAGTTGGATAGCTAACGTTAGCCACATTAGCTAACGCCGATAAACAGTTATACTCACTCGGCAGTTTCAGCTCCAGAGTCCACGTTTTCATCGTAGGATCTCCTCTTTAACAGCGCCACTCTTCCAAACATCGTCCGGTAGCTTTACTTTCTTCCACATTGAGTCGAGCCATCTGCACAGAAGTTAGTCAGAGGAGCCGTGCGGCGGGTTGAGAGTGAAAAGCATCCCGTCGGATTTCTCTCCGCAGTCTGCTGCTCCAGAAAAAAAAGAGGCACTCTTTTTTTGCCGGGACTGTGACGTCACCAGGCGCCGTTATGTGTACAAATCTTATATTTTGTAAAGAAAAACCTAAAACTAAAGAAGCTCTCAGAGGAAATACATGCTGGACTGTGTTTGAGGAGTTATTCACTGAGGCTTTTATGCTAAAGTGTGGACGAAAGCGAGCAGCACAAGTTGCTTTCAATCCAAAACCGTCTGCCTGATAATAACAGAGAGCAGATGGCATGTGTCTAACAAAATGAGAAGACAAAGGACACAGGCCAGACGGAGTGACAGATTTAAAAGTGTAGGGGACGTGTGGAGGGGAGGCTCTCTAAACCCTGGAAATTAAAGACATTGTTTGTTAATGCCTTGTTAAGAGCATTACACTCGCTTTTGGAGCACACCTCTTTTGACCAGGTTATGACAGGATCTGCAAGACAGCACTCAGTTTCTTTTATTATGCGTTCAGTCTGTTTATATAACCAGCAGAAACTAACCCAGTTCAATAAAATACATCCTACAAATTACTTAGTGTTGAGAGACTCAAAGTGACCAATGGTGCATGGGTATCTTATTATAGCCTATTCAGTCTTTTTTTAAATCTGTACAGCTATGATAGGCAAACTCCCTGTTTTAGATGTGATTTCCAGCTACCTTGCTCTCAGTGGTGGCTTTTTTGTAAATGTCTGAGAAAACTGTTTAATTTTCCTACTATGCACTTTGAGATGGAATCATCTGGGGGGGGGGGGGAGTGATGGAAATATTTAGAGTTTACTTTAAGGGCATCATGAAGCATGTGGCGATGGATGTCATGTGGTTGTTTTTCTTGTGTGTTAAACAGCTGTATGTTTCATAGTGAATATCTACAACATGTATGTTATAATGTGTTTTGTTTTTGTACAGCTGCTTATTTGGCCATGTCTCTCTTCTAAAATAGATGTTTGATCTCAATGGGATTTCCTAGTAAAATAAAACAACAAATTAGGAAATAAAATAGGAACCTAATATGCAAATAAACCATGACACGGAAATATTCCAATTAATGTTTAAAGCCCAGCTCATTATGACATTTTAATTAATCCTGTAACTTTTTTATACTGTTTATTGCAGGCTATTTAATAATTATTGTTATAACAAGCTCTGTTTTAAAAGAGGGATATTTTAACCGTTTAATGGTTATATTACATATTTTGTCCATTTATATCATTATTTCAGTTCAATACAGTTAACATCTAACACTAATCTAAAGTTTGTTGGAACTGTTTTAGATTGATGTTGATTAAACAATTTGAAAGACATACGTTCGTGGTGCTTGGGTTGTTTATTAAAACGTTGTTTTCTTATTTATATCAGAGGGTAAATATTAGAAACACTGTTTAGTATAATACAATATGCATCAACGGCAAGAGGACCTGCAGCCTAGAGAAAGCCCAGAGAGTTGAATCCACTTTGTGTAAACACATTTTAAGTGAAAAAGAAAACTATTCACTAACTTCTTAAAATAATGTAGTAAACAATGTACTTGAAAAGGCCTACAAAGTTCCTCCAGTGGAGACTAAGCTAAGCTTTAATTATGGTCAAAGAGGCAAGTGCCTCATGTTATCCAAGGCCTTCGCATGAAAGACGTTAAAAAAAGAAAAAACCCATCCCGTAATGTTTTTAATCTACATTTAATATGATGAAAACAAGGCCCTGTACAATCCACCTTTGCAGTGAGTACAATAATTATTTTACAATTTGTACACATTAAACCATGGTGCTAGACTGGTTCCATCTGAGGAAAATGCAGTCGAGAATGAGAAAAAATAATCCTCTTTAAAAGCTGCACCACAAGGAACCATCCATTCAAACAGAGGAGATAATATTTTTGCCCGAACATACAGCAGGCCTGAAGTGAAAAATGTTCCATGAGAGACCACACACCGTTTATGGAGCTTTTACGTGTCGTATTCCCCTGGTTGATCCACTAGATAAAAGCATGCCGTGAAGCTACAGCTCTTGATCTCTAACCACTAGTACAGACCTGGCCAAAATATTGAAAATGGCATTAAATATTTCATTTATGTGAGGTGCACTCAATTCAAACCGGACATTAAAACAACCGCAAAAAAAAACGACATATTTTCAACATAAATGAAGCACTCTTCATGTTTTCTCCAGTACTCAAAATGTCTTTGACTGCTGTTGTAAACCAGGTCTGTACCAGGTAACACTTTGTCCTCTTCTTAAAAATTAAAATCCTCTGGGAGGAAGAAGGCCAAGAGTGTTGGTCGACCTGTACAGCCACCAATGTGCCACAAAAAACAAACGGAACACATTGACATCAACATTTAAAACAGGGGGGAGTGAATTCAAATGTTTTCTTGGTCTCCATGTAGCCGCATGTTTGCTTTAACATGTTTACGCTCGTTCCTCCACAGCACGTGGTTAATTGGCAAACAGGCTCGCCCGATTCTCTCCAAAGGCCACAAGGAACAAGATTTTGTACAAAACTAGATCCCTTCCTTTCAATTCTCTCAGTAGAAGAACTCTAATATTGCTAGAAAACTTCCCCATCTTTTGCATGATTTTTTTCTTTTTACACATTTTTATGGAAGAAAAGTTAAGCTTCCCAGTGTTTCCCAGAATCAATGATGAAAGCACTTCCAAGTTCATTCAAACGCATAGCAGTCCACAAAAAACAAGGCTCTCAGTTTCTCTCAACTGGATGCAAGCTTTCATTGAATTCATGTGTTTTTATGCTACGTAAGTGTACACTTTGCGGTCCTCTGGTGTTCGTGCCAAATATTCCCTCTCAATGAGTCCTTCAATGCGCTTCTTGATGACTACAGGGCTAGGGAGGAACCGCGCTCGCAACTGCTGCGTGACCTGTGGAGACACCAAAAACACAACATCAGTACATCATACTAAAACATGTACTCACTAGAATGCTCACTAAAAACAAAATACAATGCAAATGGGAAATGTGCTAATGTGGGAGCAAATGCAACAATTTTAGCTGACTGACCTCTGCTACTAGAACGTTGTGCTGCATCTTCTTTCTGGACTTCATGATGCGAACAATAGCAGCTTCGATCTCATGCTTCCTGTCATCGTCCACTTTCTGCCGCGTCTCCTTCCTCTCCGGGTCTGACTCCCCTTGCTTAGCAGCCACTAGGTGGAGCACAAGAGAGGAAAAAAGTAAGAACAAGAAGTGTGACTGAAAGTAAACATGTATTCAAAAATAAGTGCTTTAAATTATCTGAGTCAGTGTTTTTTCTACATTTACTACAGTGGACCTCACATTTCATTGTCTGCTTTATAACTTGAGGTAAATTGAGGTAAGACAGTGTGTTACTATGTAAACTTAGAATGTTGAGAGTAACTTAGCAACAGTTGTCTCTGAAGTTTTAGGCTGGTAAATAAATGACGCACTGTGTAGTAAAAGAAAAAAGTAATTTGTCTCTATTTTTTTTTACAACTCCTCCCACATCATGATTTTGTGTACCTGTCTGGATCTTGACACGGTGAAGTTTGGATGTGAACTGGTCGTTGACTGTAAACACGTGGCCGTTCTCGATCTCCTTGGACTTGGGCTCCTTGGTGAGCACTCTCTGAGTGGGCTTCCCGCAGGCTAGAGACTGCAGCGCTCGCACAAGCTCCCTCTCTGGGATGTCCGTCTCCTGCTGGATCTCCTACAGGGTGGAAAGATCAAATTTGGGAGCATGATAAAACACTAACCAAGACGTCACAGAAAAAAAGCTGAAAATGGTGTATTAGATGTGACATTTCCAGCTGAAACTGTCCACCCTAAATCAACAGGTTGATTGTCTTTCTCTGCGCAGCAAATCATTTTTTGTCAAACTATGGAAACCGTAACACAATGCTTCATTTTAGAGGGCAGTAACGGAATAAGTTGTGTACCTCAAACACAGACTTGTCTCTGTTGTTGAAGAGCATGAGGATTGTCATCTGGAAGGTGGAGACCTGCAGGATGTGCTTCCTGGTGTTGGAGCCTGTAACTTGGGCTCCGCCCACTCCAACCTCTGCGCCATCCTCCTTTTGGAAAAGTCGGGGAAAAAAGATCAAAAACTTAGGTGACGATTCAGAATTGCACAATAAATGATGCTTTAGAGAACTCAAATTCCTGAAAAATGTACATTCCCTTGTCGCTCAAGTAATGCAATCTTCGATCTACACCAGATAACATTTGAACTAAACAAATTGACTTCTACCTAAATCTACCAGTACCAATTACATGACATTTTCACATTCTCAGTCAAATTACATTTTTCTTGTTTCAAATTATTAACCGCATTTAGTTGCGCCCATTTCTCTTTGTGGTGTGTTATTTGCACCTGAGAAATAACTATTTTTTGTCTCTTGACAATTCTTGGCAAAGTAAGTTGCCTTGTTATTTTACATGTTTTATTCACATGACACTTGATTGGAACTTTTCTGTGTGTAAATCAATGCAACACGTAAAACGTTAAACTGTCAGGTTAACTGTTCTTCAGCACAATTGCAATATTTGAACTGCTGAACATTCAAACGGGATACAAACCTTCTTGATGGCACCGTAGAAGGTGGCGTTTAGATCTGCAGAGCCCATGTGGTGCTGGAGTGTGAGTTGTCTGCCGCTGTGCTTACCAAGATAAAACCTACAAGCAGAGGGGGGGGGGTCAATCAAGGTCAACATCTAAACATAGTTAACGTACCAAAATCAATCCAACTGAAGTGATAGGGTTTTCTGTACCAGGCCCCGTGATGGGCATCATGGTGGACCACAGTCCCGACCCAACACATAGAAACAGTTCCATCCGAACCCATGACTAATTTTGGTATATAAACTGATCCAATCAAATCAATCGTCTACCATGCATTTATGGTCGCTAGAGAGAACAGAAGCGTGTGAGAGCTGTGAGATAAGAGATGCCAGCATGATTCGGCTGACCCGGCTACTTCCTGCCTACAGA